TTTCTACCATGTATTCCGAAAAATCATAATTGCACACTTTGTCTTAATTTCCTAAACAATTCATATTATTTACTACTATTTTTTTATGTTTACATGTCTTCCGGAGTTCTGCTTCACCTCACTGGGATCCTTCATCAATATATGGAAGGACTGAGCAGCAAGAGTAGTTTTGGTTTACTGTGCAGCAGCAGCAGCAAGGACACATGCCCTCGGGTACATTCTGTCTACGGAAGACGTGGTGAAGGATATTGTACCAGCAAAGCGTCAGTGAAATAGTGAAAAAGTGAATATACTATATAATGGAAAAAAACTGCAATGTCCATTCAAAAACAAACGGTGTGTAATGAGGTGTGTCGTGTGATTTTGTTGTAATGAGAAAATATATTACATCAGTAGTACAAGATGACTGATTCAAATTGCTTTATTTGAAGTCGAAAAAACGTTTTCGTTAAGATGGATTGGTGATACTTTTTCGAATTTATTCACATGTAAAATGAAAATTAGATAATTAAATGTATGAATGTTAAGTTTTGTGTTTCCTTTCCATTTCATCCTTTGAATTCATTCTTTCCTGTTCCTTGAAATAATATCTGTCCTATTACATTTGAGATATTAGGTGATCAGTAAGATTAATTTTCCTTGTTATTTTAATTTGTGGCAAATAATAATTTATAAAGGTGGTGTAATTTAGAAAACTTGTTTTCTACTAAATGATGCTAACAAATTTTACGCTGTTATATTGTTTCCTCCCTCACTATTTTAAGAAAATAATATAAAATGAAGTGCAATTAAAACATTACATTAAAAAGTTAACCGAGACGTTTGGTTATTGGCGTACAGTTAAGAAAATTGATTGTTTTTAAATCAACATTATGTTCTATCACGCATTGATATTTAAAATAGTTATTTAAAATTATTGGAATGTAGTGGTGCCATGAAAGAAAGTATGCTGTACTACAAACTCTAAACTGAACACCTTCAAAGGAGTATTAAACCAAAGTCCTCTAAAGAATATGAAACAAAGTATGAAGTATTCAGCAGGATCTACAGAAAGAACTCCTTATGGTGACAGTGTCAAAAAAGTGCAAATCGACAATGCTCCATAGAAACTTCCTATTAGCGACGAATGTTTATTATTGCACTTTCAATTAACTTTAGATTTGATTGACACTACTTCGGTTCACGGTAATAAAATGAACAAAATTCTGATTTAGTTAAGTGTCAAGATGTCATTTACTTGTTTGAAAACCTTGAAAATTCATATTCTATTGAGCTGTGTGTGTTTGAGCAAGGTCGTAGCGTGCTATTATTTCGCATGCTTGCGTGGTTCAAAATTTGTGCGGTAATAAATACTGTTTAATTTTAAAGAACTACTCTTGAAATAATTAAATTTTACTACCTTTATTACAATAAAATTGAATTACTTCTGAAATAAAAATCTTTGCTTTTGTGCTGAAAAACGTACTACAACCGAAGAGTAACGATGTAACATGTGGCTACAAGTTAACAGTGTAGATTGGTACAAAGCTACTTATGAGATCCGTACACACAAAAATCACAGATTACTCAATATTAATCAGCAATATATTTGAATAAAATACATAGGTCGTCATCTTCTTATATTATCAATCATGAGTTCGCGTTTTTTCGAATTCAATATATTAGTTAAAAGAACTTTGGACGAGTATATGTAAGTTTGGATTGCCTCGACGATACAGAAAGAGTAATTAATTTAAGCAGTAACTGCATTCGTGCAATTGCGTGCTGATGTACGATAATGCGGAGATGAATGAAAATTTTTCAATGAAGCAGACCTTCAATGGAGCAAATATATGCAGTTAGACTACTGGATAAGGTAAGTATTCCTTAATGTTCTTGACTAAGCTTACGCTTAGCGTTTCTGGATGTTCATTTTTTGTTTCATCTGTTCATTTTGTGGATTATTTTAAAAATATAGTTAACAGTGATCTATTTAACAGTAAAACTATAGTTAGTGATTTTATTACGGTTTGTATTCCATCACGTAACAAAGCTTACCAATTTTGGTTCCCTACCTATTAAATCAGTGCATGCAAACTTTAACTTACAAATGTTTTGATATTAGGTAAAAAATAACCTAATATAAAATTTGTAAGCTATCCAAAGCCTATCCAAAGACCGTGATTGTAGTGTTAATACAAATAATTATATTTCATAAGTATTCTATTTGCAGTGTCTTCCTTCATCGCTCTTGTTAACTATTTTTATACCTGGAAACCCTACTTATATTGTAAATGTACACACTTATCACATGAAAAATGTGGAAGATGTACATTAAATATGAAAGACAGTATAAATCGAGCTCAATTGTTAAGTTTGAAAATTATCTTTACTTCCTTTCTTATGGACCAGTTTTGTCTATAACTACTATATGTGGGTATGTTTGTTTTTTGTAATTTTTGATGATTGATACTTTGGAATTTCAATCAATAGAAACATTCAGCTCAGTTAAATTAATGGAAGAAATTACTTTAGCCCTCGTGATATTTAATATTAACGTGTGTTTCGATGAGCTTCTAGTCAACTCAATGGATTGCCGTATCATGCCTCTACTTCTCCCTGTATTACCTCGAAGAACCAATATTCACTTGTATCCAATTAAAAAAGAAATAAAATATTTTTAATAAACAAAACATGCAACATTGCATTCACCACAATAACTGTCGCTTTCCAAAATTTCACAACTCACGAAGACCATGTTCATGAAATGTATCCCCTTAAAAATGCTATATTTTGGACGAGTATTCAATACGCCGAACTTGGGAGTGTTCTTACATCTTTATTGGTGTGAGCTCTGCCATCGTGCGAGCCTTCTCCAACACTTTTGCGCCCAGCCTCTGCTCATTGCCCACACACTTTTGCCAAAATATTTTTTATTAAATTTTGTATGAGTAAAACGGTGTATTGAAACAGGTAAACATGTTTCATGCTGAAAATTTAATCATGCTGTGGAATTCGTCAAGGAAAGGGACAGACGATTTATTTGCAATATTTTTGGAGAAGCATTTCTTCCTCATTCAAAATCAAAAAACTTACATGCACGGTGACTACGATAATAAAACCCATATTTATGAAGTTGTCCTGGTTGAATATTTTGATTCTAACAAATTACGAGGCCGAAATGTACTGAAAATTAAAACAAAAGAACTACAACCTCTAGATTTTTTTATCTTTTCGTACGTAGAAACTTATGATTCGTGATCTGTTTCACAATATAATCATAAAAAATGAAAACATTTTTCTATAGCGCGACATTATCATTAAACATTTATTCTTATGTTTTTTCAATTATTCCTCTATCAATGATTCGAATCAGATTGTCTTGGGATGGATTGTCACAACGATACGCAAATATTAAAAATTCTAGCGGGTTTTTTGAAGAGCTAATCATTGGGATGTGAATACACCTATTGTTTGCTGTGTATGATGTGCTAAACTTTTGCGCGACATTGGTTTGTAAATTATCATTCTGATGTCAACTCTTCGGAATACATTTTATATAATTTATAAGAGAATAAAATATTTGAATAATAACTCACTTAACTTAATCTGTCTCACCAAACCATCTACAAAGCGTTTTGCAGATACTATTTTGAACATATAAATGTTTTATACTAAAGCATCATAAGTATATTCATAAATGTTTAACAATATTTTATATTATGCACATAGAAAAATGAAAGAGAATGTCAATTTTCTTTGCCTGCATAAATAAACTCAAACATAGAGATAGTCTAATAATAATTAAAAAAAATCATATCTTGATTTTAAAAAATCATATCTTCATTTATACTTTTTCACTGCACTGCGTCCTGTTGCTTGTAAGTCCTGAACAACTCCATACATCTCGAGAGAGTAAAATGAGAGGCACGTTATTGACAAAGAAGACTTTCTTGCCATCACTGCAGCCTAATGGCTGAACGCCGTGTTCAAGGACACCTAATCTAGCGCACAAACCTAGTTCGCGAGTTATTGAAGGTCATTGTCAAGTGGAATTGGCATTTTCAAAAAGTGTATTAACGAAAGTGGTTGCCGAGAATTGTCTAATTTTGCAAATGGACTTTCTTACTTCAGAAGATTGTAATTCTCTCTTTTTCATTTTACACACGTAAATGTTTGCTTATCGGTCTAACGGTGTTGGGGTCGCGAAGGTCACCTATCTCCAAACCGTTGCAAGGGCCACTAAATAAAAATTGTCCTTACCAACTGCTGTGTACAATTTCAAATCAAACTTCAGACTTATATTTTATTTCTTATCTTTATTTCTTACGTAGACAACGTATTCACATCGGTGTATTCATCTTTTTATGATCTATCCATTGCAGATGAAAAATACATATAGTTTTTGTTAAAAAATCTAAGATGATAGTTTCATTCAAACTAAAAATATTACGGACAATTTATCTTTCATGTTACTGACTCTATAATTCAATTTTGTTAAGCGAAAACTACATTTCAGTACTGTGAAACGTTTACAAATTAGCAGGTGATACGTAGATGTTGGAATGCACTGTAAAATACGACGAATATAAACCTCCTCCTTTCAGAGTGTGTTGAAAATATTTGAGCATAGATTTTTTAAACTACAAATTTTCATGTACATTTGTGAATTCATTCATGAGAAAAATCGCTCTCATGATTAGATAGTTGAAAACATATTTGAATTTTAAATGTAAAGTACTCCTATTGGTTGGTGAAACTAAAACAAAATTATATTGATATTAAGTAACGATTTATTATTTTCAATTCTATTAAGAGTGCACTGAAATATACAATTGTAACTAAAAAGGCTTGAAATGCAACTTTTGTATCCACGTATAAGATACAAGCAAAATGCAACGCTATGTTACAATTAAGGGCTGAATCAAAGGTGCCTCGACCTTCGCGGCTACCACCGAAGTTGAAAGTTGCGCCGCTAATTCTGTGGTTCATAGCGCTTGTGACCGCTCGCGTTCAGTTGCTAGGTAAGCGTTGTTCGAGATGGAAGTGTTCTCTCAGTTACTCTCTACGAATCGGAGGAAGATTTGCTTGTATTGAATTAGTGGTGTGAAATGAAACTGCAAAGGAAGAATACATTAAGGTAAGAAAATTTTCTAGTATCATTACTTCATTAAGATATCATATAAAGCAAGAATTAAAGAATTTATCACTATTAAAATCAACTGTGAGTAGAGAATATTACAATACATTCTTTTTGGTAAAGGTTTAACATTTTTCGAATTTAAACACAAGCATATGTAAAGCAGAATGTTTAAATAACTACGTACCATATGTTGTTAATTGTGAATATATCCATGACGTATGTAATTCTTACAGTTTTGGGGTCTGTTTATATTTCTTTCATACTTAACGTATTTATGGTCCTTATGGAAATTGTGCGTCAACTTCTAAGGTCATTAGGCCCTTAACTTTAGTGTATGTTTTTCCCGGGAGCTTGTGGTGATCATTCCCCATATGATGGTGAGATCCAACGCCCATCTACCATCGGTTACGGCGGTTTTCCCAATAAGGTATCTCTCACCAGCGGCGCACCTCCCCAGCCGAGACAAACTCTGAGCTCTCGACTGGTATCCCAACATGTGTGGTAGTGTAGAGGTTGTAGTGTGTGTAAGTTAGCGGTAGGATAGGCCAGAGAACGAGAAGGAAAGATCGTGCTTGGTCCTTGGGCCGTTTGTTAGGATACTACTCCGGTATTCACCTGGTGTTGATCGGAGAAACCACGGAAAACCCCCTAGCAGAGCAACCGGCCACTATAATTCTCCTCCAGACAGCGACTGATTTCGACATATCTGTCTAGCTATTGTCGAAAATGCTGCCACCGTCGGGAATCTAGAACCTCCCAGTCAAAGATAGTGCAGTGGTATCGGTTGATGCCACATCCCCCTGCGAGTTTCCTCGTCCAAAGGTTCCAAAATCCCCGAGGAATCGAGCTGGCCTAGAGAAGCACGACCTCTGAGCACGTATTTCGGCTCAGCAGAATGGGAGCTAATTGGAAGGGATCCCTGGAGTAGCTTGACTCCCACTCAGCCCCCGTCGCCGAATTAGGTACTCGCGAGGCGTACACTGTGTGATCAGCCGCCCGGACAGAACACCGCGATCCCGACTACCATTACCTCGTTCCAGGCTCTAGTGGGCGAGGTGCAGCCGGTACATAGCTCCGGGCCCCACGAATCTCAAGGGGGCACATGCAACTCGAGAGAGTCATCGAAAGCTCATGCGTTCCATAATTTTTATTATAATTTGAACATGTATTTAATTGATTTAATAAAATCGTGTCATATCTTGCACATATGCATGCACGTAGGAAGATACTCCTCCGAAATCAAAATCAATTATTTTTCTATCGTCGGAACAATCTTGACACTCTTCACTGTGATGTGGCGAGTAATAATGAAATATTAGATCCAAAAGTTTTAATAAGTTTGAGATAAAATGTTCAATGTTCAAGTTCAAAGAAAAAGAAAGGATATAAAATGCAGGCTACAAAGGAAATAAACATATCCTGCAAGAATATGGATAATTTATGTCTTTTTATGTTTAATATCAATACAATATAAGCGCAACTAAATTGGCATTATTTTAAAATAAATATTCAGAACCCTCCTATTCTGTAATTGGCTTCTATACTTTGAGAGTGATGTATTTACCCCACGTATCCATCTACCGGTGTGACATTTATCTAGGGTTAATAATCGCCCGACTATATTACGCAATACGTAGTATTTTGGCGATAAATACAAATAACAGAGGAGGTTAAATAGGGTAAACCAAGACGGTAGCCGGTAGCCCTCGTTTATAACCAACCCAAGTTTATAACGACACGTGCCGTTAGACGAGCAGTACATTTCGAATGTGCATGTGAGAAAAACAACAACGTATAAATAAATATAATTTCTTGGAATAAGTCAACTCATACACCATCTTTAGGTCTAACTTATTTGTTTGGATTGTTCTTAACATACGGTCGTCTCTTGCAGTTATTTATGCACCAAGGGTGATATAAGGGTTCTAATGTCCGAACGGCAACAAAATGCCGGGCCCGAGGCTAGTTAACGCCCGTGATACGTGATTTTATTTTTTTATCTAATTTTAATTATTTATATTTACTAATTAACTAGTTAACTTGACTCCATATGTCATTTCGTATTTCCCTTTAATTCCCATTCATAATTCCCATTGTCTCCGTAAGATATCATGTAGCATCATTCAATTGTTTTCATATTTGCCCGGTACCCACGATCATTTCAATCCAGGAAAGTTATGCAGTGAATATGGAGCTCTGTATCAAAGACAACAACAAGCAATAACGTGTCACTAAAAAATAAAATCATTAACGGACCCTCTGGTCGTTACGAGTAGCTTTTCGATCCTGTTGAAACAACAGAAAAAATATTAATAATCAAATTACTCGGACGCTGAATGCATGGGATCATAGACTATTTAGTAATGCAAATAGATTATATTTTTACAAAAAAGCGTTTTTTTTTAATTTGAGTGTGGCTGCATCAATCCCCAAGATGCACAGCTTTTTCAAGATCCGCGTTCTTTTCAGACAACTCTTTCCTCCTCCCCCGCCGGCAGGTGCTGACCTCTAGCGGCCGCACGGCGCGGCAACCCGTGCGCTGGGCGGTGACATGACGCCGTGTGACGCAACGGCGGCAGCTGTAGGTCGCAGCGTTCAGCCGCGCGCGAGGTGCGAGCGGTCGAGAGGGGTGGAGTGCGGTGGGGAGGGGAGGGGAGGAGGGGTGGCGGAGCGGCCGCCCTCCGACGTCACGGTGACGTCAGGTGCCGCGGATTGCGCAACCGGCTGCGTAGATCACTGCTCCCCGCCCCCACCCCGCCTTCGCGCCGCTTCGTTGATGTGTGTTGTGTATTATGTCGCGCCGCTGCACACTGCTCCTGTTGGGAACCGTAGACACGTGGTGAAATACGGAGATAAAGGAAACATTTGCAGGGCAGGGATCCGATTTCTATTTCTCTGATTTTCTTTCTCTTTAGCTGAAGTAAGACTGTTGCCCAATAATTCATTCATCACAATACTCTATTGACCAGGATCTAATAAACTATTTTCATTGAGTAAATTAGACGTAATTTTATTAGCATTCTTACCATCCCCGTCACAACTGGCAGATATGTCTCGGAGCTGCCACTATATTCTCCATGATCGGCAATTCCTAGTGTTCCACACCCAACGGTGGCAGAATTTCGAAACTAGCTAGATAGCTAGCTTAAATGAGCTGCTGTCTGGAGGAGAATTCTAGCGGTCGGTTGCTCTGTTTGGCGGATTTCAGTGGTTGCTCTGGAAATGCCCAGTGAATACCGGAGCAGGGCATTAAAAAACGGCATCCAGACCCTATGCGATCTTTCCTTCCACATCCTTGTTCCCTATCCTCCCCTTACACACATAAACACCAACATCTACTATACTAACGCATCAGGGACCTCTTGGGATATATGTTCTACACTTACGGGACAAATGTCCGCAGCATTAGACGCGCCCGAAAACAAAGTAATAAATCAACCATTCCGTTACTACTCGCCGTTCTCCCCTAAATTTACATTTCAACATCTTTATAATATTCGTATTATTATTATTATTATTATTATTATTAAAATATTGTAGTATACTTAGGTTTCTCTGATTATGTGCGATAAAAAGCATTGAATTATAAATATAACTTAAACTAAAACTTACACTATTCTGTATAGTTTATAAATTTCACTTTGCATTCTGAAAACTGTCACACCCTAGGAAAAGAAATTCGATGTTTTATTACTTGTTAATGCAAATATACTCAAGAACGGCATTGTGGTATTTAAAATCTGTTTATTTATTTACAATTGTTTTAGATATAGCAAACTACTTCAGTTGAACGCGGTATTAAATATCGTGTGTTTTGTAGTAACTGAAGGCTCTTTATTGTACAGAGAAAAGAAACTCTTTAACATGTGACATTTCTGGAACACTGAGCTATAACTTCCTTGGAAAATGCCAAAACCTTTTATTAATGTCCGTAGAAAATTCACCAGTGTAACATCCTTCGTAGTTCGTCTTGCTGCTCTTTGTATTTTCAGTTAGTAGAATGTACTAGTGCGAACAAGACACCTTTTCTGGTGCGGAAACCCAACAAGGTTAATGGGTGACGAGGTAAGTGTACAATCTTAGGACGGGTGGTTGATAACCATAGGTTATTATGTGAAAATAGATGAAAACCTATCGTGTTGTAAATTACTGGTTTTCAATGATAACATAAATGTTCGGATGTTAACGTCGGACGTGCTGAACTATAAATGATTCAATATGTCCTTCACCAAGCATTGTGAATTGTGTATCCGTCTGAGATCTTACGGTCAAGAATTCTTGACTATATAATCACGTCTCGTAACGTATAAGAAAACGTTTTGTTGATCTTATTCGTGGAGATTCTAAAAGATTTTTCTTTCTGTTAAGAGTGTCTGAGTGAAGCAGCGAAACTCGCTACTGTGAGTTTCAATTTCACTTTATTCTCATAAAAGCAAAATACTCACGTTGTAATAGTATATTTACCAACAAAAGTATTGTTTTCAAACAATCAATCAAGAAAATGTACATTGTCTATAAAATTAATGTTTTATTTCCATCAGTGTAGACATATTTTGTTTAAATACCACACGAAAGGTATTTACGTTTTATTATGTCCAATTTACCATATATTTTTATGACATTGAAAATGCTGCGAATTATTCGTCATGAATGACGAAATGCATTATATATCGTGTGCATGGTCTTGAGTGCAACGGAATTCGAGAAAATGATATGGAAGTCTTCGCTTGTTAAATAATGTCAGAACCTCTTATTCCGAGAAATAGTGTCACGGCAGGTTGGTCATGCCTCCACGTTTCATAATTCGTATACCGATTCTGTTGGCCATTGATCTGCCGATATCGATGTAGCACATTTGAGCTCAAGGGGACCTTTCAAAACTTGCAAAGGAGATATCGTTTTAATGTCCACTCTTCTCTGTTGTTATTAAACAAATTACAATGATTCAAAGTCTCATGCATCGACATTATAATCTTCTTTGCAAGGTTTGTGGCTCC